AGCCTCGCACCAATGACCTATCCACGTCATCATTTACCCAGAATACTTTGTGTGAAAATAAAACGGCCCCGTCCGTGTTAAAACATATTTTTAAATTTATAAAAACTAAACATCCTACAGTATTTTTACAGTCTTTATTTTACAGTTAAAATAAATGTTTATCAAATAAAGTCTAATGTTACAACTAATCGGGGATCCCTTTAATCCTCTTGGGAAATGGTGCTGTACTGCAACAAGTACTCATCCTGTGTTTAATACTTGCCCTATAGTCTCCCAGCATGCTCTGCAGCTCGTGGCAATGCCCCTCAGCCACTTCCTGCCCTCTGCTCAGCTCCAGTTTGGGCAGGAATTGTTTCAGGATGTTGTTGCAGTATCGGTTCCAGCGGGTTGGGTGACGGGAGCGCCACTTCATGATCCTCTCCTTCAGAATCTTCTCAATTCTAGTCAAAGGGAAACAGCCGATGTGTTTTCTCTGGCCTGCTCTGGGGTCAGGATGGAAAAATAAAGGAGCTGATGGTTTGTTACTTGCCTGTCCTGAAGTTCCACTGCAGCTGCTTTGTCTGTGCGGCGGTACACCAGCTCCTCAGGCTGGAAGGAAAGGAAGGAAAGTTAGAGGGAAACGGAGTGCATATATGATTAGAAATAAACGGATGAAGGCTCACCTGAATGCTAGACAGCCCCGGATGGGAGAAGAAGCGAGAAAAAAACGGTTTCCACAAATTGCTCTTTGTGATGTCTAGACTCAGGTTCTGTGGCGATGCTTTTTCTTGAACATTGAACCAAACCTGAACATGATGCAACAAACAGAATTCTCTGAAAAATTAAGACGATGCCAGGATATAATCTTAATCAGAAGAAGAATCTAGTGTCAAATAGTTCCTCTTTCTTCACTCACATTGTCAGAATTAACCAAGCAGCCAACTGTTTGGAGGGGGCAGAAGGGGTCATTCGTCTCGTAGCACTGACCACTGCTGGGGTTCCAGATAAAATACCCACTCGGCTCATGTGTTAGAACATATGCAGTGGGTCCCTAAAAAAAACAATCCAAAACGTCAGATGAGTTTATGCTGCTCTCCTGTCCTGATCACAGAAAACATCTACCCTTCTTACATGTACAGTTGCAGTCAGTATACAAACTGTTTTCATGGACAGAAACGTGTCGCTCTCCTCTGAAGCATCACCTTATCATGGAGGAGTTTGTGTGCATGAATGATTATAGGAGCAATGCTATCAGGGGCACCTGGCTGGTGACCAGGGGTCGGATTTATAAAACTTGCGTACGCCACTTTTTACGCCAAGGTTGTGATTTATAAAATCCAAACTTGACGTGAAAATGTGCGGTGCCTCACAGCTCTGACCCATGCATACGCTCATTTTGGAGACAGGAAGCTGCGACACAGATGGTGAAGTGAGGAATTATAGCCACACTGTGTAATGATCACTGTCAGATATTTAATTTACCTTCATAATCAGACTTACCGGTAGATTTTTATTCAACTTTATCAGAAGCTTTCTTAACATATTATTTATGCTTCTGCTGCTGAGCCAGAAGGAGCTTTGAAATAAAAAAAACTTAAATCTTAAATAAAAGTTCATGCAACTCATTAATTTCTTTCCTCCTCATGACCCTGACCCACAGACCACTCCCRGACAAGAGACATTTCAACAGCACGACAGCAAAAGTCAGGCTTTGGGTACATGCGCAGGGCGCACCCACCTCGCCAGTGTGGATGTGTTATAAAAAGTTCACTTTTTAAAAACCGCATTTGTAACGTGCGGGGGAAGGGGGGGTCTGCCGCAGAAAGGGAGAGGACGGGGGAGAAGAGCAGTGAACTTAACTTTATCTGACTTATTTAATTTTATTTATCTTGTTTTTATCGTCCTGCAGGCTCTGAGAGAAAATTAATTTGAAGCTGAGTTTTTGATAAAAATCGTTAGATTGCTCTAAACGTCTGTAAACCTGCAAAATGAGGGAAAATCTGTGTCAATTACAGAAAATCTGTTCACGTGAGCAGCTGTCAGTCAGCATCTGTCATCCTCCAGACGCACGACGTAGCGCGTCTGAACAGGCCAATCACATTGATCAGCTGACTGATTTAAATACATCTTAACATTCACGAGGTACTTTGCATTGACTGTTTATGGCTGAGTGTTGGTGTGTAGAGGGTACAACCTGAGGTGGGACCTTGTGTGCAAATTATGAGGTACAGCTGTGATCTATAAAGGGAAAATGCAGTGAAACATGCGTACGCACAGTTTTATAAATCTGAATTTTTTTGGCGTACGCCATTTTAGTTTTTTGGCCGTACGTTCACTTTTAGTATGGTTTCCACGCAATCCTTTATAAATCTGATCCCAGGCCTCTAGCCATGGAGCCTGGCTTGGATCAGCCCAAATGAGTCACATAAGTTTGCTTTCCTGTGGGCCCACTATCTGCAGGAGGGGCCATATGAGTCAGGTGCATGATGCCATGGGCAGCAGCTAAAGGCGGGTCTTGGTGGTCTGACCCTGGCTTACTAAATGTCCCGAGAGCCAGTTTCTTGGGTCTGTGGTGAGAAAGGAGTCTGAGCATGAGGTTCAGAGGTACCAACTACACTGGACAAAAATATATATTTTTTGTTTTTGCTCCCATTTATCACAAGCTGAACTCAAAGATCTAAGACTTTTTCTATGAACACAACAGACCTTCTTCCTTCAAATATTGTTCAGAAATTTGTGTAAATCTGTGTTGGGGGGCACTTCTCCTTTGCAGAGATAATCCACCCCACCTCACAGGCGTGCCTTAGGCTGGCCACAATAAAAGACCACTCTGAAATGTGCTGTTTTGCCTTATTGGGGGTGGGATGCATGCAGTGAAACACATCTCCTTCACTCAGAGTTGATCAGGTTGTTGATTGTGGCCTGTGTGAAGTTGATGGATATTGGCAGGAACTGAACACGTCACCCACTGAGCATGGTTGTGATGCTCTGGATCAGCGTATACATGTTTGGTGAGTATGCTGGTCATGTGAGAACTGGGATGTTTTCAGCTTCCAAAGTTGTGTACAGATCTTTGCAACATGGGGCCGTGCATCATCACTCTGCAACATGAGGTGATGGTCGTGGAAGAACGGAACAACAATGGGCCCCAGGATCTCTTCATGGTATCTCTGTGCATTCAAAATGATAAAATGCACCCGTGTTCCATGTCTATGACATACACCTGTCCACACCATAACCCCGCCCTCACCATGGGCCACTTGATCCACAACGTTGACATCAGCAAACTGTTGACTCACACACTGTCTGCCTGAACAGTGAAAACCAGGATTCATCCATGAGGAGCACACCTCTCCAATGTGCCAGACGCCATCGAATGTGAGTTTTCGCCCACTCAAGTGGATTACAGCAACAAACTGCAGTCAGGTGGAGACCCCGATGAGGACAACGAGCAGATGAGCTTCTCTGAGACATTTCTGACAGTTTGTGCAGAAATCATTTGATGGTGCAAATCGGTTGTTTCAGCAGCTGTCCGAGTGGCTGGTCTCAGACGATCTTGGAGGAGAACATGATGTGGAGGTCCTGGACTGGTGTGGTCACAGGTGGTCTGTGATTGTGAGGCCAGTTGAAGGTACTGATAAATTCTCTGAAACTCCTTTAGAGACGGCTTATGGTGGAGCAATGAACATTCAATTCTTGGACAACAGCTCTGGTCTACATCTGTAAGCATGACAACTGCACGCTAGGAATGGGCGATATGGACTAAAAAAATTTATCACGGCACCTGTGTTGTAAAACTGACACCCATCAAAACAAGAGTGAAATATGGTACATATACAATATACAATACAAATTAGACATTAATTTAAATGGTATAAACAGAGAAAATTATCAGTAATAATGGACTATGATTGATATAATAAATCTTGAAATCACATTCTCTTTGTACTAATAATTATTCCATACTTTCCTAACAGAGCACTTCACTCTCAGACTGCAGGTTTACTTGTGGTTCCTCGAGTTTCTAAAAGTAGAGTGGG